GTGATGCTGATGGTGTGAGGATGGTGATGCTGATGGTGTGAGGATGGTGATGCTGCTGGTGTGAGGATGGTGATGCTGCTGGTGTGAGGATGGTGATCCTGATGTTGTGAGGATGGTGATGCTGATGGTGTGAGGATGGTGATGCTGCTGGTGTGAGGATGGTGATGCTGATGAGGATGGTGATGCTGGTGGTGGCGAGGGTGGTGGTGGTGAGGGTGGTGGTGGTGGTGGTGATAGTGGAAGTTCTGGGGATGATAACTGTACAGGTACTGGTGATGGTAATAACAGTGGTGGTGGTGATGATGATCCAGAAGGGGCTGCCTCTACCACTGTCCGAGCTCAAGGGAGGGGGGAACAGAGACATGTCTTGATTTAGTACCACCCAGCTCATGCTGTTCCAGATGCTGTGTCTCGGGGCTGTCCCCCCAACAGTGGGACCCCAGAGGAGCTATCCCAGGAAACCCACATACCCTTGGCTGAGGATAGGGATGTGGGGCCTCCAACAGCATTCCTGGCCCCCGGCCAGGTGCCTCCTGCACACTCTGCGCCGGCCTGGGGCTACTGCCCAGCTGGGCTCCGAGGCCCCATGCGTGGCGAGGCCTCTTCCTCTTCATGAGCAGCCCCCTCTGGCCAGGCCCTGGGAGAAGCCCAAACCCCAGCTGTGCCCATCCTGCTCTGCTGGCAGCTCGATGCCACCTGGTGACAGGCAAGCCCCAGAGCACTGTTTCTCAGACTTAAATAATGTGAAAACTCCTTTTAAGGGAAAGATCCTTTTCTGCACACTCTTACTGACCTACATTGTTTTATTGTAATGTTGCAGGAATATGAACAAACACCAAGATAGGAGCCCCCGCCGGACTATAAACTGAAACCCATTTACAAATTAAACACAAACAAAACTGTAAAACCAATAAAATTTAAATTTGCAGCATTAGTTTTACAGGGCAGATGTTTCCCAGGGACCCAGCCCCGGTGGTGGGTGCTGGGGCAGAGACTGCCGGCTGCCCTGAGTGACGTGTGAGTTTCCCCTCCCTTTCATTCAGCGAGGCCGCCTCACACATACTTAAGGATGTGTTGCGTGAAATCTGTTAATAACTGTGTGGCTTCGTTTGCTGTAATCACACCTTATATTTAACCCAGAGCCATCCTGGAAGACACTCAATAGCGGGTCCTGAGAGCTGCCTAAGCTGTCTCCTCTGGGTGAAGACAAGCTTCGCCTTGCAGCGTGATTAAGGGCAGCTTGAAACAGGAATAATCCAATTATTTCAGGGACTGGGAACAGAGAAATTCTCGTTGCATATTTACTGCTGCACTTACTGCTAATGAACTGCTCCAAGACAGGGCGGGGAAGGCAGAGGGTGGCCCTGGGTGCAGGACCCTCGTCCTGGCAGTCAGCCTTTGTCTCAGTGACCCATCCAGGCCCCACCTCTCCTTGTTGAGGTATCTGGGTGGGTAGGCCTTCATGCGCACACGGACATGTGTCCACACACATCCCCACCTTGCACTCGGGGCCCAGCTGCACAGCGTCTGGAGGTGAATCCAGACCGCACAGAACACACCTGCCCTCATCCTGCTTCCATGTCGCCCGTGAAAAGCGCTCCCTCAAACAGACGGTCTCAGGCCTCCAAGCACTGGCCTCAGGTGGCAGTGGCCAGGTCCATCCTAGAAGCCACCAGCACGTCCCTGTTGCTGAGGAAGACCTGGAAAGAGCCACACGTCCCACCCTGGCCTCATAGGACAACCAGGGTGAGGGCTGGATGTGCTCCTCGCATCCGTGGGTGTTTAAAGTCTGAAACAAGATTTGTGCACAGACCCTGAACGCTGGGGCAGTGCTGGGGGTCCATGGGGGATCCAGCAAGCAGGAGTTGTGCCCCCTCCCCTCCAGGCTGGATTGGAGGGTGAGGTGGGTGTGGGGTATGCGCTTGAAAGGCCCCTTTGTCCCCAGGACATGGGGGTGGGGTGGGGTGTGGTGCCTTTACCAGCCTCTGGCAGGAAATGACAGAGCTCCTGCGGTTAAGCACGAGGGTTGTGTGCAGCTCCGGCCTGCGGTGCCCTCGGGAGGTGACGGGCAAGGCCAGTGGTGGCCTGTTCTTTAATTATGCAGGTGCGGAGTGCCAGGCAAGGCCATAAAGTGTGGGTGCTCGTGTGCCCATCTGTGTGGGCTGTGCGCAGGGTCCAGGTGTATGTGCGTCGGCTGCTGCTGGTGAGTGTGCATTTATTTGTGCACACATGCATTTGTGTGTGTGGCTGCATCTGCGTTTCCCTGTGGGAGAGAGTGGGGGGAGCAGGCATTGTGGCCACAACATGGACAGGACTGCTACCCCTGCCTCCTACCAGCTCGAGCCCTCCGGACCTGAGCCTCGTCCCTTCCTCTCTCTTCCTATCCCTGAGCATCCCCCCGAGTTTGTCAAAAGGCCTGAAAGGACTTGTCAGGGAAGAGGGAGTGACTTTAAGCCCTGCAGAGGAGAACGTGCCCACTATGGCACAAATAGGCCATGCCCAGGACTCTGGATTCTGGGAGCTCTGGGTCTCCCCAGTGTCTGTCCCAGCCTTGGCCCACTGTCAGAGAGGCCTCCCCAGTCTGCTCCCTTGCAGGACAGTGACTGAGAGGCTCGTGGGGTGCTGGACAGCCTGGTGCTTCCACCTGCACTGTGTCCTCTGTCCCCAGTGTGCTTGCTTACCAGGACATCCCAGGCCAGAGGGTGAGTGTCATTGCTGGGATCTGAGCCTGGGCTGTCCCCTTCCTTCCTCTCACAGCCTGCCCTGTGAGACCCTGGGCCCTCTGTCCTGCAGGAAGCACTCCTTGCCCTCTATCCCAAACTGCATTCCTTTTTGCAGTTAAAGGATTTGCCTTACCTGAAATAGCCACGACCCCGCTGTGGGGTCTTAAGACAAGAGGGGACTGTCCTTCGGGGCCCAGGAGGTTTCTGAGGCCCCACCAAGCTCAGGATGAGAGCCAGAGGCACACTTGCTAGAACTTTCCCTGAGGAGGCTCAGAGAGGGACAGATGGAAGCACACGTGGGATTTCTGTTAAGGCACAATGCAGCCACTTTCTCACTGACACCAGGCGCGCACATGAACACACGTGCTCACACACACATATTCACATACACATATTCACATGCACACACATGCATGCATACACACATGTGCACACACTAACAGGTACACATGCATGCACAGCTCTCTGTAATTCATCCAGTTCTCCCAGGCATTGCCAGTAGGATTTCTGGGACTAGGGCCTGAGTGTATTTAATCCAGCAGCTTATTTGTGGGTTTGAGGTTAGTGTTTGTTGGTGTCTGGAAAGGATGCATCAGGGCCGGGAAGCACAGCTCCTGGGGACTTTCTGCAGAGTGACAGACAGACAAGGAGGGGCAGGAGAGGCTGGGGTGGCCTCGCGTATCTGGGAGACACCGTGGAGGCTGGGAGGTCCCCTGTGGCAGCTGTGTCCTGCGCAGCAGTGAGCACAGCTCCAACCTCTGGGGACTGCTCATGGTCAGCTCATGGCCAGCTTGTGGTCAGCAGGAGCACTTTCCTCACCTGACTTCGCAGTTGGACGGGGGTCTCCAGCCTCACCTTCTCCCTGACTCTGTGTGGCAGCTCCAGCCGAGTGGTTCACACAGCAGATGTCCGTTCTCCTCTCTGTCCTGAAAGCTCGACATCCAAGGTCAAGGCACGGCAGGTCTGGCTCCTGGTGAGGCTCCACCTCCTGCCTTGTAGACAGCAGCCTCTCGCTGTGCCCTCCTGTGAGGGAGGACACTAGTCTGTGAGCAGAGAGAGCAGGACACTGACCCTGTCCGGTCACGGCCTCCCCCTCATGACTTCATTTAACCTCAGTTGCTTCCCAACGGCCCATCTGCAGATACCGGGGTTCTGGCAGGCGGCCAAGGGCCTAGGAAGGAGCTAGTCTGAGGAGTGCCAGCTGCTGGGCAGCCACCTGCCTGGCTGGGTGTGGCCACACTGCCACTCAGGCTGCCTCGGGCCTTTCCTCCCGATGTTAGGTCTCAGGCCCCCTGAGGGATGTCCCTGTGGCCCAGGTAACCAGCAGACTGACCAGCCCTCTCTGCTCTCTCCCACAGCAAGAATTATCAAGACAAAGCAGTGGTGTGACATGCTCCCGTGCCTGGAGGGGGAAGGCTGTGACCTGTTAATCAACCGCTCAGGCTGGACGTGCACGCAGCCCGGCGGGAGGATAAAAACCACCACGGTAGGTGCCCCCGCTGTCCTGTGAGTGTGTGGGTGGAGAGCAGCCCACACACACTGAGGCCCCCTGGCTGCAAGGGGCAGGCAGCTGGTAGTCGCTCTGTCCCCACACTGTCAGGCCCCCGCTCCCTGGCTTCTCCCTCCCCAGCCTTGGACATAATCCCAGTAGCCTGTGCCTGCGGAGATGGTCACTGTGTACCCGTAAGCCATGTTGGTAAGAGTTGTCTTGTCTCAGGGCGAGGTGTGCCCCTGACTCTGGCTGTAGGGGACAAGGAACACCCCTGAGGGAGAGCTTCAGACGAGTCCCCCGGGGGAGGGTGTTGCCTGGGTGCACTCCTCCTGCCCCCAAACCAGGCATCTGGCACAGCAGCCACTCACACCAGAGACCCGAGAGACCCTGCCCGTCTCTCTCATCTGGGCACAGGCACACACAGTGAGCACCTTCCTGTCCTCAGGCCTCGGAGTGAGGTAGTACGCTCAGAGGACGGTTTGGGGCAGCAGCTCCCTGGAGAACCTCCAGCCACCCCAGGTCCACTGCCTGCCCCAAGTGAGGCAGGTGGCTGCGCTCCAGCCCTTCTGGATTCTCAGAGGCCTATGTGTTTGTAGAAACTCAGGCAGACTCCCCTTGACGGGCTTGGGGCCAGCACAGGACCCCTGCCAGGGCGTGGTGTGTAGGAGGACAGGGTGTGTGTCAGCTGCTGTGACCTCCTGGGCTCATGTGTACATCTCTGTGAGTGTGTGTTGGTGCCTGTGCTCCCACAAGTGTGCAGGGAGCTGGGGGTGGATGGGGTCTGGATGGGCGGCAGAGGTGTGACTACTGCCTTGGAGGAGAGTCTCAGAGGAGGCTGACCTTTCTGGGGTTTCCTCATCTGGGTGCTTCTGGAAGGCAGAGACCTGGTGACAAGCAGTGCCCTGGGCAGCCATAGCCCCTCCCAGAGCAGTGTGTTGGGGGCCGGTGTGGGGCATGTAGAGGATCTTGTACCCCAACCCTGTCCAGCGTCACCACATTCCTTTCCCGGAGTGAAACCATCAGGACGTCTCCACTGGCAGGTCTGAGGGGGCTTCTCACTGCCCGTCCCCAGCCGTCCCCACTGTGCAGTGCTGGCTCAGTCCTCTGTAGAGCCATCGGCGTCCACCACCACATAGTGAGGGCTGGTCCTGCCCCTGCACACTGAACTCCTGGAAAGGGCTTTGTGGCATTCTCTCCTTGGAGATTCTGAAGTCAGGAGCCCCTGGCTGTCTCCTGCTGCACCCAGGACACCATCCCCTTCTTTCTCTCATTCCCTTCTCATGCTTCAGAACTTGAGTCTTTCTACCATCTAATCAAGTACCAGCACCAGATGAGGGCTGCCCGACTGGCATCCCTGCCTCCGGGTCTGCCTGGCTCACAGCCTCCCACGCAGCAGAGACGTGTAGCCTCTACCTCAGCTCTGTCCAAGCCCACCAGGGCCTGTGCAAGAGGGGTGAGCTCCCCACCAGGCGTGTCGGGAGGCTGTGAGCCTTCTTAGCATTTGGGGTAGCACCTGCACTTATCTAGAAGAGGGGTGAGCTCCCCGCCAGGTGTGTCGGGAGGCTGTGAGCCTTCTTAGCGTTTGGGGTAACACCTGCACTTATATAGAAGAGGGGTGAGCTCCCCGCCAGGCATGTCAGGAGGCTGTGAGCCTTCTTAGCGTTTGGGGTAACACCTGCTTTGGGATAACACCTGCACTTATCTAGAAGAGTGGTGAGCTCCCCGCCAGGCGTGTCAGGAGGCTGTGAGCCTTCTTAGCGTTTGGGTAAACAGCTGTACTTACCCAGAGCTTCATGTATTTGGAAATTCTCAGAGCCACTGTAAATTCTCATCCCCACGGCCTCTAGGCCTGGGAGCTCCTAGTGTCTCAGCTTTACCAAAAGTCCCGAAAACTGCAGCTGGGCAAGCTTGTGCTGACCACTGGTGGCCAGGTGATTGGGATGCCAGGGAGGCTGGGATCTATCTCTTCTGCACACCTGGAAGCTGGCCCTGGCCTGTGTGCGACCCTGTGTGCCTTTCACCCCAGAAAATAGTCTCCGTCCACCCATTGCTGAAATGCTGCTCAGGGGCCACCAAGCCTGGGCCCACCCTACAGTGCACTGTTACAGGGACCAAGGACCCAGGCTGGTGCCAGTCCAGGCAGAGGAAGGGTGGTGGCCCCGTGAGACTCCCCAAGAGAGGCATCTCTCGTCAATGGAGGGGCATACCCCTCCTTCCATGGGGAAACCCTTTCCTATGGGGTCGCGTTCCTGGCCCCTTTCTGGCCTAGGCATCGTGTGCCTGCCTGGAGCTGCTGTGCTCCTATGGGCCTGTGCAGACTGTGTGCACCCCGGGACCTGAGCGCCTCTGTGATCTCCCTGGCCATCTCAGAGGAGTCCAGAGAACAGCAGAGACCGGCTCCTAATAGATTCCCTGGCCTCTCATGAACCCTTTTCAAAGCTTTCTTAAAAGGTTAGTTGAGCTTTTGAACCAAACACCGTAGAAAAGGAACTTCCAGTCCCAGCTACTTGATTATGTCTCGAGTCTCTCACAGGCGGTGAATTAGCCCCATTGGGGTTCACATCATACCATGAATCGCTTTTCTGAAAGGTGATGGTTTGCTCAACATTTGGCTTTAAGAGACCTGGTGGCTGCTTGGGGGCCACATTCCCACCCCAACTGCCACATTCTTCGGTAGTTCCCTGGGTACCCCCATGCTCAGACCAGCCCCTCTCCATGAGGGCTGCTGTTGTCCCCATGTCCATGTGTCCCCAGCAAAGTGTGGGCCACTCCACACCCTCTCTCAGGCCCTACGTAAATACGGACTAATCAATTAGCCGAATCAGTGCAGGCTGTGTTTGCATTTCCAAGATCACTGCTTTTCAAAGTGCAGGTCGTCACCCCATTAGTGGCTGGGAGACTAATTCAGGAGATCACGGCCTGCATTTAAATGAAGGAGGAAGAAGTAGAATAAAAACGTTAGAGTTCACCCTATGTCATGTGTGCACACACCAGACAGGGACACACATGTGGTCACATGTGACATGTGTCTGCTACTATACGTTGCTATGAAAAGTCAGAACTCCAGTGTCCCAGGGGGACTCACAAGAGAAACTGGCATCTGGGTGTGTTTCCAGGCAGGGCCTTCTCAGCTGGCTCCATACTGTGGACGTCGGGCTGTTCTGGGCTAGACAACCTGGGTGGACACAGCAAGTCTTTCATCTTGCTCCCTCCCTGGGAACAGGCCTTGAGCTGCTGCTCTGGGTGCCTATAGTCCCAGCTACTTGGGAGCTCCCTGTCCACCTCCCTCTGCCCCTGTGGCTGGGCTGGACGGGAAGGGCTTCTGGGAGCACGGTGGAGCAGCCGCCTGGCACGAGCAGCCGTCTGTCTGCTGGTGTTGCTTTTGGGGGCTGTGTGGTGCACGTGTCACTGGTGTAGAGTGTGTCCTGGGCAGTGTCTATCTGCCACACTGCTGTGCTGTTTGTGTCGAAAGGTGCCCATCAGACGCTACACCATCTCCTTTCATCAGCTAGATTGAAACCCACTTTAGAAATTCACTGATAAGTGCCCCATTTTACTTCTGTGCTGCATGAACCCACAGTTGTGGGATGAGGGACATTGAGTGGTTTCCATATAGTGCTATTCAGGAACTTGTGTTTTATAGAAACTCTTTACACTGAAAGCACATTTCCCCATGAACAGAGATTCCAAGGCATGCAAACAGCTGCCTCTGTGCACGTGTGTGACTGGACGGTCAAACTCCCCCCTCCCAGGTGTCCCATAAGTGTGCTGAGTGCAGTCGAGACAGCTCATCCCAGGCTCTGCTGGACACCAGGAAGGGAGGGCACTTCAATCTGCTTGGGGCCTGACAGCCCAGCCGGCAGCGGCCAACTCTTTCTCTGATCTCTTGTCTGGCTTTAACCCAGCTGCTGCCTGGGCGGGGCAGTCAGCCTGCCCCCAGCTCTGGAGGTTAGACGCCTGCAGACCCGTTCATGGAACACAAAAGCAGATCTGGAAAGGGTTTTGTTGTCATTTGCCCACCGGTGCCCACGCAGCCCTGCCCTGCCCCCTGGTTGCACATTGCCCATCCCAGTGGAAGGTGGGCCTTGTCCAGGCCACCGTGCAGGCAGCACTCACCCACCCAGGCACTTTGTTTCTTGGGCTCCTGACAAGCCCAGAGTGTGGGGAGAGGGACTCAGTCCCAGGAAAGGTGGCCGGGCAGAAGGCAGGCCTGATCTGCCAGTCTCTTCATTCTTAGATGCTAAGATGTGTTGGACATGGCCCTCCTGACAGGTCTGTGGGGACAACGGGCTGGGACTCCTGCTCCAGGGCACCCAGCTCTCCCGTGCCTAAGTTAGTTCATCTGGCCTCCGAGCTGCAGGGAGCATGTTTCTGAGCCAGGCACCACCCAGGCTTGCCCATGCGGAGGGCTAGAGAGTCTTGGCCCCGCACATGAGGCTCCAAACTTGGAGGAGCTGTCCATGGAAAACAGAGCAAATGCTTGCCCCAAGATCCCAGTCAGAAGGCCAGGACACCCCTACTCGCCTCATCTGCCCTCTAGAGCCCCCAGAGAGGTGATGGGGACATGAAACGGGGAACTGGCATAACCAGCAGGAGGGGAGATGACGAGACGTGATCGGGAAGGGCAGAGGGGGCTGCCGGCCCCTGGCAGCTGCCACCGTCACCTCAGACCTGAGGCTCCTCTGAGCAGCAGGTGGGAAGGGCTGGTTGGGAGGATTCCAGGTCTCCCCACAAGCACCTGGGCTGCAGACCCCCAGTCCCTCCAGGCCCCATAAAGCTCACATGGGAGGAGGGTGAACATGACCAACAGATGCTGGACTCTCTGGAGCCAGTGGGCCAAGCATGGAGGGGAAGTCTGGAAACCAGGAGATTGGGTGAAAATCACTGTCCAGAGACATGAAGCCCTCCCCACTCCCTGGGATCTCAGTCAGAGGTTCTTGCTGGATAAACTCACTGGGTCAGTAACTTCATGCAGGTGGTTTAAAACAGCAGAAATTTTAACATAAAATAAAATAAAA